TTTCGCACGTTAGAAACTTGTCGTACTCAACGTGGAATTTGTATTGTCTGATTGCTGCATTGCTTTCGGTGGCTTCACTCTAAAAATAATCTTTTTTAACATGTAGCATTTTATGTCTTCCATGCATTGCTGTATTGCGATATTTTCATTTCGTTGGTGTGTCTACCTTAATAGAAATTACCACAGAAAATTGTTTTATGTTAATGTATTTACTTTAAAAAAAAAACAAAGAATTCTTTCTGTCAACGGAATTATATCCATGGATCTATGTTTGTCATCATAGAAAATTTCTGAATGTACCAATTGTATTTTTATTTTGAATTTTAATTATTGTTGTTTTGACAAGTAACTCTATTGCGAAGACACTTACAACATACTTCAAATAAGGAACAGCATAAATTTTCTTGTTATTTAGTCCAGTTTTAAAAAGTAAAACGGTCATGATGATAAATTCGAACAATATTATTTCGAAACAGGGGTTCTGGAAAATCTCGAAGACCGCGCTGAGGTTTTTTGTGCAATAAAAGCTTTTGTGTTGTACAGCTCTATTATTATTCCCTTGATAAAATTGAAGTGTTGCTAAATCTGTTCGCGTGCGTGCACTTACTATTCTATCTCTGCCTTTTGAATGAATCGCAACACATGAATCAAATTACGAAAATGCATTGAATCTATGAAAATATATTAAAAAAATATTGTTTTTTATTAATAAAAAATAATTTAATTTTAATAAAAGGTATTAAAAAAAGCGATTTTTAATTTTTTTTTATTTTTTTTTTCAGTTCCTCTTAATGCATTCATGCATATTTTTAACTTTCAACAAAAATATTTATTCTTGTTTGGTAAATTTTGTGGTAAGGTTGTACCAGCATGCTTTTAGAATCAATACATATTGATTCTAAAAGTATGCGGGTGGAAAATATTACATCAATATGCAATCGTGTCTGAGATGCAAAATCACTTATTATAATGACCAATATATAAAGAGAATCGAATGTTAAAATAAAACGAAAGTTTTATACCTACTATAAATCTATTTACTGATGCAATAGACCCGAAAGGGGTTTAATATCAGCCATTATAAGAAAACCAAGAGATTATGTCCGTATTTATGCAAAAAGGAACCAACCAGCAAACACGCACTTTGAAATATTACAGGATTTACAAAAATATGTGCAGCTCTGTTATACGAATTAAAATATCTATTTATTTTATTTCAATTTGTTGATTAATTACCTATTTAAGTAAGTGCATATAAATAAATTTTTCAGGTATATAGTAGTATCCGTAGTAGATTTATTTAGTTTGGATTAAAAAGTTTTTGGAGAAAAGGGGCAAACGAGCGATTACCGCCGCCCATGAACACCTGCAACACCCGAGGGCTTAGAAATGCGTTGCCCGTCTTTTAGAAAAGAGTATGCTCTCTTCTTGAAGGTTCCTAGGTCATAACGGTTCGGAAAGACCGCCGGCGACCGTTGTGCGAGACAGGAAATGCCTTTTAAATTAGATAAGTTGTTCAAAATATGTTCCGAAAGTTATGACAACTTTGCCAGAAAAGGTCGTCAGAAATCATCCTTAACAATGTATGAAGAGGAGTGTATTTTAAAATAATCAAAGCAAAATACAAATGTCTGAATTCATACAATAATGCTTAAATCTAAGCAGCAGAGGCTACAGAAAAAACAAGAATGATCTACTTGAGAAGAATATGATATTTGCTTTTATAAAAGCTAACACTCGGGGCGATTGCATTACTTAAAGGTTTGATATAGCTTTAACAAGTCCATTTTTATTAATGAAAAACAAAATGTACTTCAAATATCTCGCTCTGTATTCATTTTGTATAATTGATTTTTAGGAGTTCCTTAAATATCTCCAGAGTCCAAGATCCAATTTCAATTATATACTTACTTTTAACTAACTTACTAATAACAGATTTCAAATAAAAAAAAGAATAATCAAAATCGGTTCTCTCAGTCGGAAGTTCCGAGGTAACAAACATTAAAAAAATACATGCGAATTGAGAACCACCTCCTTTTTTGAAGTCGGTTAGAAATAAATTTGTTCTCAGTGATGTGATGATAAACTGTAAGTAAAAAGCAAATTATAATAAATATTATCTCATTACACTTTTTGTCCCTTAACTGTTGTCATACGTGTGAAAATAGTGCAAAACAAAAATTGACATGAATGAACAAAGTTCGTAGTACACGTGTAATAATCTTGAAAACACAATTTCGCGATTTATTCAAATATTACGTCACGACGCAACGGCCCCAACACGATCAAGGAAAGGAGATAAAGATAGCTCAGAAATGCGTTGACCTGTACGTTTGGTGTGTTGATAACCACGGGTCAGTTGGCTATAAACTATAAAGGACTGTCCACACAGTGACGCAGTCAACTTGTATAGCTAAATTACATCAGCTCCATATACGCTGTACAAATTTAAATTCTAATACACATAGACCACATGCATTCATAACATATATACTTCATCAAGCAATGTGAAGAATGTTATACGTGTAAAATTTAGTTTCTCATAATGAAATAAAAAAAATTATTGATAATTCCTAAAAGGTGATGTATATTATAAGAAGCTGCTTAAAATTAGCTTTGTATGTCTTAGAAAAATATTTGGACATTTAGTCTGGCGTACAAAATTTAAACTATGTATATGTTTAACAGTTTTTGACGTTTAAGACTCGAAGCACGAAAAAATTAGATAAACCACTTCTGCTTACTCCGTCAGGAATTTAATGCATGAAATAGTTTGTAACAGAATTATATTCATACTTATTGAATATTTTTTTTATATTTTCATATAAAAAATATTCAATAAGTATGAAAATTGTGAATGTCAACTTAGAATCAACACATAATATTGTGCATTATTCTAATTTATCTCTCAGCAAAACAATATCATACAAACGGTCAATGATTATACTTTTTATAACAGATAATGTAATCACTGCACTCCCAATATATTAGAATTTATTAATTACGCCAGCAGCTTCGCCCCGATTTATTCATGTAAAAATATGTATTTATATGATAATGAAATTGAAAGTACAATCAGATGTGGTATTATGGGAGAGAAAATATGCAAACGTGTAAATAGTAATCTATTATCTGAGCAGACGCATCTGTTGTCAGCAGTGGACTTACCACTCTCTGCCAAAGAAACCATACATCACCTGTATAAATAAAAGGTACGCAATAAAGAAGACTTTACGGACTCTGCCACTTTCGCTTTACGATTTAAAAAATAGCGTTCTCAAGCGTTACAGTTTATAGCTTTGTGCTTCGACGAGAGCCGAAAATAGTTCTGTAACTGTTTTTTTCTTAGTTCTGAGTGGAACTCTCTGGAATTGATTATAAAATGATAATTATATTGCAGATTATACCGGCAAATTAACAGTAACTTACATTAAAACACATTATATAATGTGATATATCAGATAATCGGATAATTCGTTTTTAATTTAGATTATTGTATTCATTCTGTATTTTTGTATTGTAATAATGAAATTTATTTGTATTTTATAAGTTTTAATTAATGTCGATTTTTTTTAATATTATTAATTTAATTTTAATTTATTTTTCTATTTGAATTTTTGCTTGTAATTCTTTAATTATTATTTTTCTTAATTTTACTCAAATTATTTGCTGTTAAATATTTTTTGCATTTATTGTTCTCGATTATTCTTATATGTAGCTGAAACAATGCTGTCACCTAATAAGGTAGATACATCAGAATTTTTTTTTTGTAATATTTTTGTTTAAACGTGAAATGCATGTACTGCTGGTGTCCTTTAAATAAATAAATAAATAAATTATATACGTACTCCATGTATCCATAATAGGGAAGGAGAAAGTAAAATCAAGAACGATGTAAACTTTTTAATAAAAAATGTAAACAAGAAAAATATAAACAAAGCGTAGACGTCAGGCTGTTATTCAAACAGTGTTGTGTTGTACTAAGTATTTGTACGATTTCTGTAACTAATATTTTTAAAAATATCTTCATGATGTAAGCTTTTGTGATATCATCAGTTTTTGTTAAAATAGAAATAATTACCGACCGCGATTTTTAAAGCTCACTTATCTTAAAGGAGATCGCTGTGACTGTCCCCAACTGTCTTACCGTGAATATATAACTATCTTCTGGAACTGTCGACGGCTTCGAAGTCAAGGTATTTAGTACTTTGTTATTGATGTGTTATTTTTGAGGCGTAAACCGCTGAGTTTTCAGTCAGAGATTGTACATACGAAGTCAATTAGTAAAATTTTTGACCGGTATTCGGTAAACAGGCAAAATAACTCTTTCGTAGACTAAAATTATATGAGAAATTACTAGCATTAATGTTTTAAGCAAAAAGCTCAGAAAAACCAGTCTGAAAAAAGGCGTTAGAGATTTAATAATGTATATTTTATAATTCGATAATTGAGACACGCTTGAAAACTAAAGCGATAGATAAATAGAGAAGACTTTCGCTGGAATGTAAAGCGAAATCAACTTAGAATAGTGTAAAATAAAATTGTATTTCACTGGCAAGGGAATAATGGACTTTCATAACTGAGGGGAAAACTTTAAATTCGCGAACGTGCTTCGTCAACCTCAATAGAGCGTTTAAAAGAGCAGCAGGTGAATCCTTAGGGGCACTTACTTCTCTCCTTGCATTGCGGCCCAACTAATATTTTTATGGCTTACCTTCGAAGAATGTTTACAAAAATTTACATTATAGAGGTAGTAATAACTATATAATTTTTACACGATTACGGCAAGTCGATTCAATTATTAGGTACGTGACGTGAGTTATTTATAATATATAATGCGTTTTCTTAACATTAATGTATTTAACGCTTTAACAATTGTAATGAACTTGCGGTAACATTTTCTCGTACATTTCTTTTGCTTGGAGAAAAATTTACTTATCGTTGTTCAAAAATGCGCCGAGCTAATCGAATTACGTGCAATTATATCACGACCTTACCTACTCGGGACGCATGGGGCGCACATCAGACACGAGAGCAATCACAGGGCGAATCACGAGCACAAACTTACACAGGGCGGGCCGATTAACAGCGGCCGCTGTAACTCCGCGTTCGCGCCGAAAACTTCGACAGCCCGCTCGGCGAGGCCACGTGTTGCACAGAAACAAAGCCAAAAGCTCAACGACGAAGACACGTTTCCACGGGGCCCGGCGCACGCGAGCCACGCGCCACTCTTTCCCACAAGTAACTGACAACTGGCCGGCCGTTAGACTATAGTTGTACGTACACTGCGGTGCACGTATACAATTTATTTTCATATGCCGCGGACGCATCGAGGCAGCGACGCACAGGTCGATAAAATGTGGACTGTTGGATGGCGGCGGCGTCCACAATTCCGCTTTCTTCGGCGCTGGTGATGCGTCGATCGGTTTATTTTCTGCCGATGACGCTGCGGTTCGGGGGGAAACGGATTGGTGAATTGTGCATTTCGCACAACTGACTTGTCTTCGTACTAAATAAAAAGACGGCAGAGTTTCTTGCCGGTTTTTCTCCGGTCAGGTCTAATGTAGTGAACCAAAGTTAGTATTTTCGAACGTTCATTAAGAGCTTAAATTAAGCCTGTACCGAGTAAAGAAATTTTGACTTTAACTTTGAAAAAACTAAAGAACGATAAAAATAAAGATGCTGCTTGTAAACATAAATATATTAATTACTGAAGGTAATAGGAAAAGTGCTATTTAAAGTAGTAGGTGAGTAAAAACACGATGAAACTTTGCAAGAAAAAACATGATTGTAACATTTATTGTTAAAAAAAAATTCTTGTATTTATATTTAGTTCAAGAATTTAACTTAAAACGTCGAACTGTAATATTTTATGTTGCACAGTTTCACAGATATAATATTTACTGATAACTTCTACCGATTTAATGTGCAATAAAGATTATGAAAATATCTCTATTAAGGTCACGTATTTGTAATCTTTTCATGAAGGAAGCTATAAAACTCGACCAATTTTAAAATGAGAATCTCACTAAATCGTTCATCTTATCTCATGTGAAGTTTATTCCTCTTCTCGTAAATGACATAATATTCTTTTTATGTTTATTGACTGATAATGTTGTCGTTCTTTTATTATCCCCGTTTAAATTTTATACACAAAACCGGTAATTTGTTTCACATTCCGGTTACAAAAACAAACCTTGGTCTACAATCCCCTCAAGTTGAACTAATTATAGAATGCAACAAGAATACAAGAATACAACTTGAAGTTAAACAAATAGTCGATATGGATATATTTCATTGTAGTCTGAATAGATTTAAAGAACTGCTAACAAAACTATATATTTTTTCTGCTAACAGTACTATATATTTTACACCCACTTTGTTATTTCATATGTGGTCAATGCTTTGTACACCGTTATTTTCTTATGTATCAGCAATAAGTTTTTATAATCAAATGATCTATGTAAATGGCCAATACATATGATGTGGTTGTACTTCAAATAAATACATATTCGTTTATTTTATTTAAATGTTGGTATGTAAGTTTACCTACCGTTGTCCAAATTAAAATATTTTTAGCTACAAGGTTGTCTGGAAGAGATCACTCCTTAGCGATAAGACCGCCTTATTGTTTATACCTCTTAAGTTTATAGTTCTGTAACATTTCCTTTTATGTTTTATGGTGTTCAATAAAGTATATATAAATAAATAAATAAATACATAAATTAAGGCGCAGAAGAAAAATGAAAAGTAAAAGTTTATATGTCATAAATTTTATTTTATACAAATAATGTTTATTATTAATAGTTAATAAATTTCAGTAATTGGAACACGTAATTTTTTTCATGTGACAAGTTGCCAAGCGAGCAGGCGGTTCACCTGATGTTTAGTGCATACCGCCACCTATGGACATCTGCCTCACCCGAGGGTTGCAGATGCGTTAACAACAAATAAATGTTACGGTGTAAATGCTACGGTGTTCGTGTATTTATATCACCTTTAAAATAATGGTTAACTTAAGTACAAATAAACCATGGCGTCTCAAGTCCGACCAATGGTAAGGGACAGTTGAAAGCAAGTAAGTAAAATCAATACGGGGGTTTTAATAATTGATTCGACCAGCGGATGTCTGGCGCCCACGTCGAATCGAAACCCCAGCCAACGTTTGTTCGGGTAACAATCGCCATCGATCCGATACGTATTCTTGGACCGTTGTCGAAGTCGCACAGGGTGCCGTGGACATGCTCCATCCGCTGTATTTGATTTTACAATGAAAACAACAATTACTTTAATAACTACATAGTATAAAACAAAATCTTCCCGCTGTCTGTCTGTCGCTATATATGCTTAGATCTTTAAAACTACGCAACGGATTTTGATGCGGTTTTCTTTAATAGATAGAGTGATTCGAGAGGAAGGTTTTGTATGTATATATATGTATATTCGTGCATATTATAATAGAGAAACATTAATAATTTTAGAAATTTCTAATGCGATGTCGAAAACAAACATTCAGCATTTCACCCGTGCGAAGCCGGGGCGGGTCGCTAGTTAATATTATATATTAGATCTTTATCTATGAAATTGCCGTTTTGTATGAAATTGGTTAAAGTAATTTTTGTTTCAAACTTTTTTATTTCTGTTATTCAAAGTAATAACCCATCTAATCGATGCATCTTTGCTAGCGCATTGGTAGTTTATCGATGCCCTTCTTGAAAAAATGAGCTGGACGGCACAAACTCTTCAAAGGCATTTTGTACTGCGTCTCAGGAATTGAATTTTATTCCCGCTAAAAAGTTGTCCAAGGTCTGGTAAGTATGGAGGATGAGAAAGAGCTTCCAACCCCAACTCTTGAATGAAACTATTTAACGGATATTTTAATTTGATTTTTAATTCCGAAAGGAATTAAAAATCAGGAGGATTCAGAAAGGAAATACTGAAATGAAGAAGTGACTATTAAAGACAATCAGATGGAGAAACTAAGATTGTTTGGAAAATATATAAACCTTCCCACGTAAAAAGATTGAAATCTAATATTAAAATTGATTGAAAGACATTGCACATTGATGTAAAAAAATAATCGTAGTGAAAAAAATAACGTGACGTCTACTTATTAACAATATCCTGCAACATCCAGTATGCTTCGGAAACTGATCTTGAGGTAACTTCTGCAGTTACTATACTACTGAGTATATACTCGAGTACTATGTATGAATATTCATATAATCGTTTATTGTTTTTTATTATAAATTATTTTGTTTGTTATTATTGTTTACATGCACCGCTTGATATTGTGAACTATTATTATGTTATTACTAGCTGACCCGGCAAACGTGGTTTTGTCATATTAATAATATATAGGGTAGAAAAAAAATGTTTGTGGTGGACAACCCTTAATATTTAGGGGGATGAAAATATATGTTGTCCGATTCTCCACCCTGGCCGATATGCACACCAAATTTCACGAAAATCGATCGAGCCGTTTCGGAGGAGGAGGAACTATACATATGAACTACGTTTAATGAAGTGGAATTCTGAAAAAATGTTATCTTTTTCAGACAGATCTTGCTTGTTCTAACCTCGGTAAGTCTATAATAATCACTGTATATATAACAATTGATATTCTAGATACACCTGACGCTCAGGTCACTTAGCCTATCTCTGCCTAATGTCTGAAATAGATTTCGTGCAGGTGAACAAACAATGAATCTCGTTTAGTTTTCATATTTATTAAAGTCTTAAGGTGAGCAAAATTTATATGATTGTGGAATATACATGTAACAATATTATTTTGGATCCAAACAGTACGAAAGGTAATAAATAGCCTTATCTGTGAAAAAGATCATGAAACAATTTCATAAGATGTATAATTTTTAGTCAGAATGTTGTTTAAAACTTTGCTTTGATGTTGTTCATAGAATTATGACGCACAAACGTCATGTGCAAATTTGCCAGAGCCATCTTCGTCTGTCGCACGACTGGTCAGGTCTATCCGGGTAAGTACCACGACCTCACAGAAGACCGGTGTGAAATGGAAATATTACACTTTCGCGTTACGTCTGGTGAGTTAGGTAACCAGGAGACTAAAGATTTGCAAAGTATCTACAACCTCTCAGATGCTGTCGGCGCCCACAGCCGGTGGTATTCACATTATGTCAATCAAATATCTTATTTAATTTTTGTTGTTTTTTAATTTTGTTTTATTTTGAATCTGTTTTTGTTATATGATGTTTTTTGTGTTTGTTATATTAGGCTACATATTAATCACTGCTTTGTTACGCCATCTATCATCCTCCTATGGTTCCACTGAAAACCAGCATTCACGAAGTTTAGTAACTCTGTGAACTCATGCTGAGTGGAAACCTATTTGGTGCATGCACATTTTATTTCTTTTTATTGTAAATAATTTTTTGTAAACGATTTATTTATGTACCAAATAAACTTTTCTTTCTTTCTTTCTTTCTTTCAAATGATGAAATGAGAATTCTGATAAAGTGGTCTGATTTGGTCACGAAATGGTTTTAAATGGTCAGTGATTGGTCAAAACTATCGTTGGTAGGAGTTTCTTGGATATTTCCTTGATTTTATAAAACTTTTATTTCGAGGTGCTAATTGGAAAAAATTTAATTATTTTTTTTCCAATTAATGCGTTAATAACATTGACTAATCATCAAAATTAAATGATCAATAGTGACCATTTTAATTTTAGATCCAATTTCTAGGATTAATTTGAGCCGCTAAATTTTTTCCGAATACCTTAGAGTTGAGAGAAAGAGAGTTTAGTGTCAGAGTATTGGCCCATTGCTAAAAATCACTGACCATTTACGACCATTTCCTTATCAATGCGGACCACTAATGTCCCAGTTTAGGCAGTAAAACTCGCTTGCCATTTTTTACATATAAAAAATATATGCAATTTCTAAACAGATGTTGCGTGAAAGAGGAATAAGATGGGTAGTTTGGAGACTCCGTGGTGCAGTCGTCAAGGTATTAGCTTCGGCGTCGGGGGTCGTGGGTTCGGTTCCCACACGAGACAACTATTTATGTGACCCACATATAGTTGTTTCGCATCTGGGTGTTTGTCCACGTGAAATTTATGTATGTAAAACGTCCTTGCAACACAGGATAATGTTATCCCAAAGTAAGGGTAACTAAAAAGTGACATGATACTACTAAAAATATTCATCGTATCTGGTTGTGTACACCATGCAAAATAATTTCGCATTGTTCCAATGCCTTTGTAAGACTATAAATAGAAGCGATTACACTTCTCCGGGTTCTTACTTTAAACACGGTCACAATATCTGTTAAAACATTGGGATTGCAGTTTACTACGATAAAAAACTGCTTGTTGAACTAAAGTTTAAAAAAATAACGTCATTATAATACAGCTAACTTAAAAACCTAGTTTAAACGGATTTATCGTGGTTCTTCTTAATGTAAGAATGTTTTGAAACAACATGGTTAATTTGGTCCGGATGCCTGTAATAAATAAATAGAGCAGAGAGCAGCGAGAATAAAAAAAAATAAGCAGTTATGTAGACTGCTGACTAAAGTTAAAACTTAAAATTGGAATTACTCCTTCTGCCATCGAACAACTAGAAGTTAGTTTTACAGATATGAAATATAAGAAAACCACATGATATCAAAATCTTAACGTCACTAACTTCAATGAAAATATTTGTGACTGTGTGATTAGCATGACGGTGATGCGAACCTATGAATTATGTCCAAAATTGCCCAACGTGCCTATAGAAATTTATATTTCAAGAATGTAAGCTTACGCCATTAAACACGATGATAGACACCTTTTTCGTTTATATTAGTCACATATTAGTGATATGATAATATCCTATATACTTTTCTGAGCCAAAAGTTAAGTTTAACATAGCATCATCAAAGATGAAACCGTGATAGCTCAGTATCTCGGCGCTTGCTTCTAATTCGCAAGCAACCTGAGTTCAAATCCTGGTGTCGGCATTATTTTTTTTTTAATTTTAAGTGCTGAATTATCACTTGCTCTTCGGTGAAGGAAAAAATCGTGAGGAAACTTCCAAAGCTTGCGTATCTTCGAAATAATAACAAAAAAAAAGGATTTCGAAGATACATATGTCAAGTCCGCCAATCCGCAGTGAGGTTGCGTATACCTTCTGTACAAAGGAGGCCTTTGCCCAGAAGTGGGACATACATAGACTGTTATTTACTTGTACTGTTTTATAAAAAGATACAATTTATGTAATTGTTATTTTTATCTACTGATCGTCATATGTTCTACATCAATAAATCTAAATCTTTTACAAATTGTTCACACTCTCACCAAGCGTTTCTTTCACCTTATGTTTGCTCCGAATTCGAATAAAATGGATTACGCCAATCATTCACGGCCGATTTAGCACATGGTCGAAATGCAAGATAGAAAGTTGACGTAATTGGGAACACACGTAAATTTAAATATATTCCCTATTAGACTTACGATAACGTTGACATGAACAATACTGACAGAATAAATACAAAAATGTTCACTTGAACATATGCATGTAACTATAGCCTACATTTTTAGTTATTATTTCACAACAATTTTGAGTCGCTATGCCTTGTCGTCGTTAAAATTATAAACATACATTTATTAATTGGCATATTTTTCCATTACGTTAGACAATTTTTAAACATCGATCATCGTAGATATTAAAAATTTTATAGTGCTAATCTCTACTTAAGATTAAACATTAAAATATGTAGAAAAAGTACGAAAAGACTGTCACCGCTGTGGGAATCGAACCCCCGTCTTCGGCATTCGCGGCCTGACGCTCTAGCCACTGAGCTAAACGGCTGATTGCCACACCGAAGTTAATATTTTCGTACTTTCTCTACATATTTTAATCGATCATCGTGTTAATTAACTTAAATAAGTACCTAAGCCTAATATTAAGCTTTTCATACAGTGTTTACCTAAAGTGTTTACCCGTTGAGGGTCTTTTCACATTTTTCAGTGGACTCTTACTAGCATAAATTTGTAAGTTATTAGTTTTTTTTAATTTTTAAATTTGTATGTATATTTTTATTTTTTCTTAATAGTGCATAACTTGAAATACAATAGGGTTTTTTAATATAGTGCCGTATTGATAATGCTAGGTCGCAAAAGTTATTAAAGTTTGACTATTTGGTGGCTTTGGTCCCTTCAAAATTGCTCAACCAATATTGCACAACCATTATAATTGTTAATATAACTATAACATATTTGTTATGTTCT